TGGTGCAGTGCAGGGAGAGGAGCGGAGAGGCTGCCTGCAGCCCCAGGGGATGCAGGGTGGGGGGAGAACAGCCTGGGTGCCTGCAGCCCCCCAGCTGCCCTGGGGCATGCTCTGGGATGGGGCAAGTGTCCTCCTGCTCCCTAGAAGGGGATTTGGTCATGCCGTACCAGATCCGCCCTCCAACCAGCAGCTTCTCCCACCTCTTTGCTGTTTGAGAAGAGGTTTATCTTTACAAGAGTAAGCAGCCACCCTTGCCTGTCTGGAAAACTAAAAATAGGAGGTCTATTCCTAAAACTATCAAACGCATTATTTTAAACCATTGTGTGTTTAGGCAAACTATTTGGGTTTCTGTTTCTGCCACCCAGGTTCAAGTACGCTCAAGCTATCTTCTCCAGCAATTTTTATTCTCCGCAGCCAGGAGGGGCTGGCACATCTCTGTTGTGAGATACCACTGGCACCCATTCACATGGCTGTGTGGCTGGGAAGTTAAGGAAATTGTTGGCTAAGACCATCCCCACGACAAAACTGGGAACCAGCGCCACTGGCAAAGTTTCCCCTTTCCCTTGTGTATCTGGAAGTCCTTGCCTGGACTATGCTGTCTGCTATCCAGGAACTCAAACTTCATAAAAGTAAATTAAAAACCCCTTTTTCCTCTTCCCAGTGAGGAGGGGGTTGCAAGCCGAGCACCTGGGGGAGCAGGTAAAAATGGCAGGAGGCGACAGCACTGCACGTTCCTTGCACTGCAGGCTGGAGGGGGTGGGAGCTGTTTCGGTTGCATTTGCCTTCCCTAAGTGTCTGCAAGTGGGTTTGTTTAAGTGTGAGTTGCACCAGTTTGGGGGGGGCAGAGCTGATGCTGAGGGGGAAGGCGCCTGCACGTGAAGCCCCAGAGACCAGCTAAAGATCAGCCCCAGCTCACAGGTGCCGGGGTCCGGCTCGCTGTTGCAGATGCTGAGGACTGCCAATGAGTACTGCCGAGCACCAGTGACCCGGCGTGTCCCTGCCACGGCACCAGCCCCACGCTATCTGCTCCCTTCTGCCCTCCATCCACCTCCCCTCTGCGTCACTCAAAAGAAGGGACTCACCAGCCCCAGGAGAGGCACCAGAGAGAGGAGAAAAGGCTGAGCTGGGCCCCGCTGCCTGCTAGGGGAGGAACCTGCCCTCCTCGGACATGGACATAAACCTTCCTCCCCATGGGAACGGCAGGTTTGGACATGTCCCTCGCACCGGAGCCAGCCTTTCCTGGAGCCGGTTGCCAGTCCCGCGAGCATTGCTACGGAGCTACAGGGGAGAGATGCAGCTTCACCCAGCCCCTCTCCCTTGCACAGGTCTTTGCAAAAGACACGTCTCTCGCAGGGATGCCTGAATCCTGGGAACGGGGCACGGGCTTGGATAGCACATTTCTTCAATACAAGTGAGTACAACTATGCACGGCCCTGAATTTGTCCCAAAGGCTTGTCTGGCCTTGGCAAGAGGGAGGCTCCTTAGCCTTGGGCAGTTCGCTGCCTGCCTGTTATCTTGTGCCACTGCCCTGTCCCTCCCAGTGTATCATCCTTCCAGGGCTCTTCAGCCCTCTGGCTCTCTGAGGTGCCTGTGCTGGGACTGCTCCCCAAAGGGACTCTTAGGAGAAGTAAATTGTCTCTCAAGGGAGTGAGAATGGGGAATGGGAGCAAACCCTCTGTTAGAAACCTCTGATGGGGACAGCATCTCTGGAAACAGGGGTCTAACCCCAACAGTTCCCGTTCCACCTCCACCTGGCTGCCCATGGGAGTGGGAGCCTTGACCACGATGTTTCAGCCTGCTCAGCGAGCAAGTCCTGCCTGCTCGGAGAGCTGGCCGGGGCTGTGCCCAGCCGTCCTGCCCGGCGCCAGGACCCCATGGGGAGGGAGCCAGGGGCACCGGTCTGGGAGCTCTTCGCTGGGGACAGCACTGGGATACTGCTCCTGCACCTGTACAAGGTTCCCCCGCCCGGTGCACACTTTTCGCTGGGGTGCACCTACCCACGAGCCACTGTGTCTCGCTGTGCAGAGGTGGCTCACATGAGCTCCCCCGCAGAGAGGGGCAATGCTGCTGTAAGGTCGGGACGGGGAAGGCTCAGCCTGAGCTCTGAAATGTGTCTGCCGAAGCTTTTCCCTGCAGGGAGCAGCAGGGAGGTAGGCTGGCACCCATGGGTGTCCTGCCTTGCTCAGGGCGGGCCACGCAGGAGCCAGAGCAAGGAGAAGCGCTGAGAACCAGCGCTGCACAGCATCCCCCATCGCTCCTGCCACGTTGCTCTGCGACCTCCTGGGCCACGGGCTGCCAGATGTGACCTTGCCCCTGAGCAGGACAGACAGGTAATTCCCCTCTGTAGACTTCTGCAGAGAGGGGGGACCTTGTGGACACTGTGGCGGGAGCCCAGCTAGATGATTGCCTTCATCTATCAGCCCAGTGTCCCTGGAGGATGTCCCCCTCTCCAGCACGCAGGGTGCAGCCACGTCACCGGGGGTGGGAGAGGCTGGGGGGGAGGCGGGTGGTGGGAGAGGCTGGGGAGCAGCCGGCTCCTGATGTGACAGGCTCTCATCCCCAGCAAGGACAGACGGCCAGATGCTGGGGCTGGTTCCTGGTGCTCTGAACTGGGGCTGCACTCGCTTTTCAGCCCTGAAATGGACCTCGAAACCGGGTGCTCTGGCAGACAGGAGGTGTTAGCACAGCCTCGCCTGCTCCCTGGGTTTGCTAACCCAGTAGCCCAGCATTGCAGGTTGCCTCCTGGGGACTTACAAGGGACACGTACATCAAAACAGGGCAGAGATTGGCATCGTTTTGGCTGCAGGTGCACCGCGAGGAGAAGAGCTCTCTCCTTTAGCATAGAAAAGATTTTGCAGGCTGAAGCTGCACAGGCGAGATCAGGAAGAGGAAATGTACTGAGCTCCGGCTACCAGCACTCGTCAGCAGACCTTGGCCACAGCCAGGGGTAGTGATACGACACCATTTAACCTCCTCGCTTGCTTGCCTGGGTTTATCGTGCAGCCCGAGACAAAGGCAGAGAGCTACCCGTGTCTGGTAAAACAGCCCAGTCTGGGAAGCAACTGCACCACAGCTGGCTGACACACTTTCTACAGCATGAATCCCGCAGTAATGGTATCTGTGAGCAAAGCCCTGCTTATACACTCAGTTAAGCAGAATCCGTAAGGCTGTTCGTAACAGAGCCATCTGTGACCTCCACAGCATCACGCCATTAACAGCAAGGCTTGGTCTGGGTCAAATAAAAGCAGGGCAGGCTTAATAGGAGAGGAAATTAGGTGGATGTGCTTGGCTGGCCTCATCCCCGCATGTTCCTACTGTAATTATTGCCTTGTGCAGCTCAGCTCTCTCATTCAGCGATCTTGCTGCCAGGACTGCATTTCTCATGACCGAGGTGTAAAAGCTGCATGCAGATATATTTTGGCCCCAAGCAAACCTGCAGCAGCACGAAGGGAGCAGTGGCAGGGAACTTTGGCTCGTTGCTGCCAGGAGATGGACGTGTGGCCCAGGATGTGGCAGGGAAGGGAGGGAAGGGTGGGGCTGGGGGAACAAGACCAGGACCCCTATCTGCAAAGAAAGCTGGAGATACCTGATTATGGCTTTGGTCTGTCCAGCACAGCCAAGTGCAAATGGGGCTGGTAGAAAGTCACAGCTAGTGCTCGCCCCAGTGGCGCAGCTCAGGAGGATGCTTCAGAGGCCAAGGGGTGGCACGTGGTGACAGTGGGGTGGATGTTCCCAGCATCCACCCTCTGGGCCCATCTGCTCCAGATCTCTGCTCTTGTGCTCAGGCTGAAAATGAAGAAGATACCCTGTTTTCCCGACTTACGGAGAAAGGGCAGCCCTGGAGGGCACTCCTGCGCCTGGACAGAATAAAAAGCTTTTCCTGCTGTGGTCAGACTAAGCAGGGATGCAGCCGCCCCTGGCCTGGGCCCCGTAGCGTGCAAAGGCAGCACTCTGCGCTGTGGTGAGACGAACTCGCTGCTGGCGGTGGCTGAAGAGAGATGGGAACCAGGGACAGCCCAGGACAAATAAACACCCCGCACTGACCCCCCCTTGCAAGGAGGGCTCCCCTCACACTCCCGCTCTCTGGGGGAGCAGGTGCCGCAGTGCTTGGTGTGACCCTGTGAAAGCCTCTCCAGGCAGCTTTAATGCCATTCCTCTGCAGCAGGGACACATCTGGTACAAACATGATTCTGTCCCCAAGGAGCCTGGGCTAATTCCTGCCGCAGAGCCCCAGAGCAGCCCCGGGCAGGGAGAGCTTCGGGGCGGCTTTGATCACCATCCTCACCTTGCAGGGATGGGGCTGGCTTGTGAGCAGCAGGGCAGGAGCGCGGTGGGTCCACAGCTTCGTGCTGAGTTGGGGCAGTCCGAGCCTGAGCTGGCCTGGCCAGACTCTGCCCAGGTCTGAGCTGTGTCCGGGCTCCCCACAGGCTGGGAACGGGCGAAGGGAGGAACTGCCCTTTTTAAAAGCGGATTTCATGCAATTGTGAAACTGGAGTGGGGAGGGGGCCAGGGCTGTGGGGACAGCATGTGCCCTGCTGTGTGTCCCCTTCCCCTCGCATGTGTGCAGTCTGTGGCAGGAGAGTGCCTCGGTGTCTGGTGCTCTGCCAGGGTCAGGCCACTCCTGCAAAGGGACATGCTTGATTTTTGGCTGCTGCTTCTCAGTAGTTCTCCCCCTTTTTGAGAACCCTCTCCTGGCTGCCCTGTGCGTTGGGCAAGAGGGTGGCCCTCCAAAGCACCAGGGCCTGCCGGCGGGGGCTGCAATAGTGGCAATGCATGGCAGAGCCCGGATGCCCTCCTACTGCATCCGTGCCTCCCTGTGCCCCCACCTGGGTCCAAGGTATCCTGCCTCTGCTGCCACCTCTCCCGAGTGAGATCATCCCGGGGATGATGGCAGAGGACATCAATTCCCCACCCTATGAATGTGGCTCTGACGAGCCATTGGGAAGGTGGCACTCACAGCCGAGGTGTCGGCTCGTTTCCTCGCAGGTGATGGGAGGGCAAGCCTGGCAGATGCTCACCGCCTGCAGCGGGGGCACGCTGGCCTGCCTGCCTCCCAGCCGTGTGCCAGACCCGTGGCACAGGAGGAAATTAGGATATTGTCTGGTGTCCAGGAGGAATTCCTGCCTCGGCTTGTTCCTGCCAGTCCTCCGCCGACCTTCCCTCAGCGTGGAAAGCCCAGCAGGAAGCTGACTCACTGTCTGCTGCCGCCACGGCTGGGTGCGGGGCTCTGCTGCCTGCAGCACCGGAGGGCTGCTCCTTTCACGGATGCAGGAATAGCTCATCACCCAGACCCCCTGGCACCCGCCCACCCTGGCTGTCCTCTGCCAGAGCCTGGCTCTCTGCTGACAAGCAGAGGAGAACAGCCATGGCACCCTGGTTTCTGTGCCATCTGCAGCTGGGCTGGCGGGAGGGCTGGGAGCTCACCGGGTTGCCAGCATGGCATCGCCGCGAACATGCGGGCAGCGCTGCTGTGCCAGGCTCAGGGGCAGAAGGCAGCGGCGAGGCGGGGAGGAGGGCTGATGGGCTGGAGAGGGGTCCTGGGCTCGTCCTGCGTGGTGGGGCCCATGCCAGCCCTTCTTGACTGCTTCATGTTCATCATGTGGCTGATGAGGCAGCCAGCCCTGGAGCTGCTGGGGTGGCAGAGGTGAGGTGCCAGACACGTGGTGGTAGCGTCTGGGCAGCCAGCGATGGCGAGCGAGCACTCGCCTACTTACCAAAGCTCTGTGAAGAAGCAGATGGTCGTAGCCATTCCTTCCTGGTGAGCAGCACCTAAAGAGATTTAGGAGACAGTTCAGACATCCCCGTTTCCAGTTGGGCTGTATGAATGTAGGACGAGCAATTTAATCCCTTAACAGAAAGGAGCAAATATCAGGCATAAGTTTCTTATCAAGATTCTTGCCACCTTTCCTACCAGGCTGATGGAGCACAGGGCTGACAGCATCAGTCACTGCTGCTGCGTTTGGGGAATCCAACGTTTATTGCCTGGATAGTTTGGAAAGCTACTTTGTTCTGAGGATCGGGTCGAGCCACCTTCTTCTTCTCTCTTAGAAGATGTCACTTGACGGTAGTGTTAACACTAAAAACCTTGTCTTTTGAAAGGTTGGTTCCTTACCTCGCCCTGGGCTTTCCAAGCCCTGTTAGCCCCTGCCTCAGAGCTGCAGGGAGGTCTGTCAGGCTGGAACAGTGACTGCTCCCTTGCAGGCCAGCAATACGTGTGCTGCATCACTGTCACCATGCTGAAAACTGCAGCAGTTAGGGACTTAGAAATTTTTTCCACGGTGTGTGTGGAAACACAACCTTGCAGCACCTTCTGGGAGCTGATGAACGGGAAAGGGAAAGGGAAAGGGAAAGGGAAAGGGAAAGGGAAAGGGAAAGGGAACTCACAAGGACCCTGGCCTGGGAAACAAGGGTAAGGCCCTGAGTTTATGATGAGTGCATTTGTGTTGCTTGGTGTGTTTGCTGGGAGTAAGTTTGCTGCTAGCTTGCCACTTCATTGTCAGATCCCTTGACATGCAGCTGTGAAGGTCATGCCTTGATGGGCAACCCACCCCTGGATGACAGGAACCATGGCCAAAGTTTCTCCACTGGAGAAGTCTGGGAGGGAACATCTGGTGCTGGAGATGCCTGCTGGTGGAGACCCTTGGCAGGCAGGCAGAAGAGGTAAAGGAGGGATGTGCTCCTCAACTTTCCCATGGCTGTGAGGAGCTCCACAGCTCCCTGGTGACCACCCAGAAAGGAGAAGCTGAACAGCCAAAATGGTCTGCAGAAGCAGCAATAGCGGAGGAGGAACTGCCCTCTCACAGCGAGAAGGCTGGCTGTGGCAGAAACAGCCCGATGACAAATGCGTGGCTGCAGAGGGGACTGCCAAGGACAAATCAGTGTTGAGTTGATCTAATCCCCTTCGCTAACAGGGTGATTGGCCTTGCGGATAGAAGCACAACGTTTTCATAAGACAGGGAAAGTGGTGGAGATTAAGCTAATCCAGCGCAAGTACAAAAGAGGTTGGATAGTCATGCCCAGGGTAGCTCTCAGTGACTCGATATCAAAATGGAAGGGCACATGACAGTGACACGTATTAGGAAACCTTACCAAAAGGTGAAGGTGGAAGAGGCTGGTGGGGGTGGTCGTCACAGGCATCTGTTGCAGTGGCCTAGATGTGACTCTGTCTTGTGGCAGAGATTGGACGTGATACTGCCACCTCCCTCAGAACCCCATGTCTTTTAAGTAGTTCAAAAAGCACATTATTCACCAAAAAAATCCCAATCCCAAAAACTTCCCCCCTTTGCTTGATCTCCTTCTTTCTTTCAGAATAAAGAAATGATTTCTTACTACTGCAAGAAACACCCCCCACAGTGTAGGTACTTGTGGACTATGATCTGGCCACACTTTTTTGACAAACTTCACCCAGCCTGCTGCTCTGCGCCAGCTGTTCCAGATCTGAGAGAGATAATTTTGAAGCGCTGTCAGGATTCCTGTTAATGGTCTCTCTCACAGTATCATGCTACGCTGACCTGCTGAAGGGACCCTGAACCCAAAATGTTTGCTATTCCAGAAGATGTCAGTTGTCCTTCCAAACCCCACGCTTGGCAGCTATGGCTGCACAACAGAGGCGGTCCCTCTTCCTCGCCGCACGTCCGCGCGTGGCGCTGGCCGCTCGGGCTCAGCCGGCGCCTCCCGCACCCCGAACCCCTCTCAGCATCCC